CAAAAGACAAGAAGTTGTGGAGAACCACGAATTGCCCATGCCACAGCACATAGAAGAAGACCAACATCAACTACAATTTCCAAGTTACCTATTACTAAGTAATAGTTTTAGTCTGTTATTGGTAGCTTTAAATTCTGATGCAGACTTTTCTTCAATGGCAATAATAGCCTTTGATGGCATTCTCCTTCACTATAACTTATTCTCATCTACATTGAAAGTAAGATCCTCAGAATATTCACCATTATGCAGAATAGTTTGGAATTCTGAAGAGAATGCATTTGATATTTGCACTTACTATCTTATCTTTTATCTTAATAACACTAAGTGTGATTCTTATTACCTGCAAACCATCCGTTACTACTTGTGAATGTTTCCTCTCCACTCTCTCTCACCTTTCATCAAAAACAAACTTTATCTTATCAAAAATGTGAGATTTACTCAGTTGAAGGATTTTCTGGTTCACATCCATCCATAATGTTAATAACTCCTCCATTTTTTTCCCTCCAACTAATTTACCACCAGAATAACTCAATTGCATTTCACTTACTTTACTGGCATTCAATATTGACATTTCTCTTTAACTACATACTTTATGGTTGCTATTAAAGCTGACAGAGACAAATTCATTGACCTAAAAACAAAACCAGTCCCTGCCATCTTCTATTTGATGAATGTCTCCTTGACAATCTTTAACCCTTCTGTGTAAAAAGGATGGATTTCCCACTTGACACTGCTATTATTTTAACTACCTTCACTCCTCAGAAATGTTTATTGTTTTAAAAAACGATGATTAGAATTAGAATAAAATCCAAACAAATGAAAATAAATTGATACATTTTTTTGTTCTTGAGTAATTACAATAAAAATATTAAATGTTATTTATTTTTTAGATTGTTTATTTACAAGAATAATTTTATATTTGCAATATTGTAAAAACTAATACAATTGTTTTTATTAAAATTAATGCAATGCAAAATTTATCATTTACCAATTTTTAAAGAAATAATTATAAAAACAATTTCTTCATAAATTTATAAACATTTACTAAATCATTAAAATATGTAATCCAACAATAAAGAAATCCATATTATTTACCATTAAACTTCAACCATTATGTATTAAAATATTTTTGGATTATTTTAGTGAAACACCACCTGTTTTTTAATTGATTGTATTCTCATGTTCAATATGCCTGTGTTGTTGGTATGAATCATGCAGCTAATGTATATGTGTCCACCCTTGAAGCAATTAAGTTCATCCTCAGGGAGGTACCAGACCCATGACCAATGGGTGGTATCAGTGTGGTTCTCAAATTTTGGTCATTGTACCCTCTGACACTTTGTCATTTTTAGTAATGCTCAGTTATTGCTTGCACATTTCCACTAAGTTCAAGCACACACAGCCTGACACAAGATATCCCTAGACATGATCTGTGGAACAAGAACAGTCTACTCCTATAGATTAAATAAAGGGTTCGGTTCAGAATACTCTCTAAGTTACCCAGATCGATATACACCTGATGAAAGCCAGAGGGCACAACAGATGAAATTTCATCATAATAAAAGCAAAGATGAGGACAATAGTCCAAATGCAAATAGTGTAAATAATGATAACTCCTCATCCCAGAAATTCAGAGAAAAAGATTTTTGAGTCAAGCATTAGATAGTGTGGACCCTAGAATCAATACTGCATGGTGACTATCAGTTTCACACCTCAAGTGAACTTCAGAACATGATCTTGTAACTGATTCTAATATATCCACTGATAAGACAAAAACATTATGACTTCCTGCTTAATAAGGTGTTGGTCCTCCATGTGCCTGTAAAACAATTCTTACCTGATCAAATATAAACTGTATAAAATCCCTGTAGTATTGTGTGCCAGAATTTCAACAACAGGTACTTTAACTATGGTTCTATAGAACAAACTTGTTAGTTCAACACCTCCCATAAGTGTTCAATGGGAATTAGATCTGGGAAATTGGGTGCTCAGGGTGACTTAGTGAAGTCTTATTTATGTTCCTGAAGTTGTTTTTGTACAATTCATGAAATATAGCACTGTGCAGTGTTCTGTTGAAACAAAATGTTTTAGCAGAGGAAACAAAATGTGACACCGTAATCCAAAGGGAAATTGGAATAACAAAAGCTAAACCTCCTCAACTGTTATAATTGTTTTCTCAATGGTTCCTTCTTTCTGATGTCAGTCTGCTAAATAGCAGTTCTTTTATTGAACAATGGAGCATCATACCAGCTCACTTCAAGTTTTCAGAAGGGCTTGAAGGAGATCTTGTTGGCCAGAAAATTGAAACCTTTCTACAAGAATTAAAAAATTGGATCCACAATAATTCAACAATTAATTTTGTCAATATCATCTATGATGTAATGAAATAACCTGGCACCCCCTGAGTGACTTCACTATAGGTAGCAACTATGTATAAGTATCCGTAAGGCAACGGATTACATGACACTTGTGTGAATCAGTTGATTACAACTCAGACTTACTCAAGAACTATTCAACCTTCCAATAGCAACACTCACTACTGGTTATCACAATAACTCTTACTTATTTATCCACTGTGTTGTTCCCGTGATATTCCTATTAGCACGGAATATAACAATCTGTTTGATCCACTAAAGCCATAAATAATGCAACAATTTTCACACAATTTTCATCTATAGCTGTCTATATTTCTGAGATGAGGTATTATGTACATTATTTACATTATTTGGACTATTGTCCTCATCTTTGTCGCCATATTTATTACAACGTTTCTGCCGTTGTACGCTCCAGCCTTCTTCAGGTGGTTGGACACATGGCACAGTGGATAAAGGTGTTGGTTAGATCCAGTGACAGGACCCAAAGAGTGTGAGTTCAATACCCAGTTAAGGCAGTGGAGAACTTTGAGAGGGAAAATTAACAGATGATAACTGATAACTGACATCCATTAAAAATGGCACATGGAACTAGAACAGTCTACTGCAGTGAGCGGAATAAAGCGTTCAGTTCGACATTCTAATCACCTGAAGAAGGCCGGAGTGTACAACGGCCGAAACGTTGTAATAAATATGGCAACAAAGATGAGGACAATAGTCTGAATAATGTAAATAATTTTCATCTAGCCTTCAAAAAAATACACTTTTCTCAAATAAATGTTTATCAAAAACAAATACAACCTAAACAATTATGCATTTACAATTTTAACATTTTTAAAATAATAAAAATAAAATTTTTATATAGGAGAAAAGGAAATTGAATATATAATAGGCAAGACCAAAGGTAGTTTCTCCCAATACCACAAATTGCCACAAAACCAAAACATTAACCTGAAAACTCAAGTCATGTTCTTAAATAGCCTTATCAGATTTGATGACATGCATGGTACTAAACCCATTCAGAAATATAAAAACTGTCAGCTGTATACAACTTCTTTCTAAAATCAATGGTTAAAAATACCTTTGTGCAAGTGAAGTATGAGAGTCTTGGCAAAGATCATCTTTTCTTTTAAAAATTGTGGACTTGCACTACAGAATCACAAACAAAGAAATGCACTAGATAACAAAAACTACATCATTTGAGGACTACCAATGACAGCAACAACTAAAATAGATAGCATATGCAATTCAGAGAGAAAATAATGATATATTCAAGTGTTTGACTTTCCACACTACTTCAAATAAAAAGTTGGGAAGGAAACACAAAACAATACTAGAAAGTGTGATAACAGCTACTGGACTTGAGAAACCTATTTTCCTGAAAAATTGTGTAAAGAGAAAGATTTTATAAATGTCAACTGATAGTAGTACTGACTGCATGGTCAATGAATGCCAAATGTTTCCTTATAAGGAAACAGCTAATATTGTCATTGTACAGTTAAACAATCCTGAAACAAGAACTTGGGACCTTAAACTTAATGTTCTTATTGTTTGTCAGGCATAACGGATGAAATGTGATAATGACAACAAAGATAAAGATAATCGTCCAAATGTAAATGGTGCAAATAATAACTCCTAATCCCAGAAATTCAAACAGAAATATTTTATGTAGCATGTTAAGAAAGCAAACACACACACACACACACACACACACACGCACACGCACGCCCGCACACACACACAAACTCCATAAATGGAACTGATGTTTTATTAGTAGACTGTTTTCCTTTTCATTTTGCAAATACCTCATTGCTCATATCAAGCAGAAAAGTAGAACATGTTTAGGCCTTGTTGTAAATGTTCTGCTGATGCATTGGCCTTGTCTGAATGTAAATTATATATATATATATATATATATATATATATATATATATGTGTGTGTGTGTGTGTGTGTGTAGGGGGTGCTAAAAGGGCATCATTAGCCTACAACAGGATTATAAAATCACAAACAAAATCCTGTATGAAATACATCAAAATAAGTGTAGACAAAAATGATAAAATACTTTCGTATACATTTCAGAGAAATGATTGCATATTTTAAACAACATATATGTCTACAGAAATAAATAGATTTTGCTTATCTGTTGGTGATAACATGTTTCATCAGAGAACTGTCCACTGGTCATTGAAAAGTGAAGAGAGAGAGAAAGTTTTGATTTTTGTTTCATTTGGTGGTAAAATGCTTGTTCTGATGCATCATGGGAGTATTCTACATTTATTTAACTACTTTTTTTTCTAATCTAACTTTTTCTTTCTTTATGGTTAATGACCATTCTTATCTGTATTTTAAAGTATATTTATTGCTTAACTTTTAATTGTTCTTTTATTATTAATTATTAAATGGTTGGGGTTGTTTAGTAATTTATTTGTTGCTATTGCTACAGTCACAGATGATAAATAGTCTTCTCATTTAAAAAAAAAATAGACTAAAGAGATATTATAGTCTGCAAAAACAAAATGCACATTCAGAAGTTTTCTTTCATATTTTTGCATTGGATTTTTTTTTCATTATCAATCTCACATGATTTTATCCAAAGTAATATTTACCATTGTTTTTATTCATTTCAGAAAATGTATCTGTTTATGTCAAGCAACATAACAAACTTCCTGTTTGAAGGATGGAATTCTACAAATCCACTTGGTAAGATTTTCTTTATGTATATTAGGTTCTTACATATATTCATTTGTTTTTTTTCCGATTTTCTGTGAATGATCTCAAACAATAATATTTCATATTATTTATGCTTCTTAGTAACTCTGGTCATCCTGTGAAACTGTGATTTAATGTTATTGAAATTTTATTTCAGATTAGCCACCCCCTTTGAGATGGAATGCCAGGCAGACAAGAATGAGCATGTTCAACATCTTCTCTTTGCTTTTAATCAAACTGCACAAACATTTATACTGTGTATGGAGATGAAATGCTTTAAAACAACAAGTCAATGCTGAACAGTATGTTGAAAGATATTAGCAGGCTCAAAGTGGCAATTCAGTTGAAAAGAGCTGACTGACGATACAGTGTGATTATTCAACATGACAATGCTCATCCCTCACATTGCTAACATGACCAAACATACAATTAAAGAGATTGATTAGAAACTTCTGCCACACCTGCCATATTCTCCTGATTTGATCAGGACACAGATTAGGGAGATGAAGCACTCAACTTGCTCATACCTAACTTTATGGATTCTTTATTTTTTTAATCATTTGAGCTGCCAGATTTGGTTACTTTTGTAAGACCTATCTACTAAAGTTTGAATTTTGTTACTTAAGACTTTTGATGCTACTTTTAAAATAAGGTGAAAAATTTGGACTACTTATCCTGTCAAGAAAATGCCAACTGCATCTCCGTGCAGAAATGTAAAACACATCACCTGCCTGCCTATTTGACCTTCATACAAACTGGACTCCTGTCTGCCTTTTTGACTCTTGCGTAAACTGGACATATGCCTGCTTATCTGTGGTTTATCAAAATGACAGAATTCAGCATTTAATAACCTAGAAAATGTTGCAAATGCAAAAAAATAGGCACACCTAATTTGGGCCACTAATGGCAACATAATCAATTCAAGATTTAGTAGTCCTGGACTTTTAAATGTAACTCCATTTGTGGCTTCTAACACAGTTTAGCAACCCTGCTAAGTCCTCAATGGGTGCACCATGACATCAGCTTTAACTTATTGAATAAGAATAAATTAGAAGTTAAGAATAAATCTCAAGTACACTAACATACCATGGTTTTTGCATGGCATCGTACGTAGTAGATTAAATGAAAAATGTTGTTCTCCTCTATGACAACACAAGGTTCTATGCAGCAGGAAACATTTTAAAACTCAGTAGGTCTGTTCTAATCCGGCTGCCATATTCACCTGACCTTGCATCAACCAATTATTGCCTTTTATCACTGCAAAACGTTTTGATGTGGAAAACTTTCTCTTATTTATTCAAAATGCATTGAAGAGGTGCATTATAAGTGGCAACAATTCATTGCAAATAATGGTGAATGTATAACTGATATATATTTTTATGATTTCAACACCAAGTAAGGTGATAAAGACACTAAGATGTAAGCAGGTTATTGAGTGTGAAAGAATCTGAGAGAAAAAAAACATTATTAAGGAAAGAGGACAATAAAAGAACAGGAATTAAGAAGACAGAAGATAAGGATTGACATTGCATTTAAATTTATAAAGATCAAAGTTGATTGGGAAGCAAGAAGCTGGAAGAGAGTTCCACAAATGAGAAGTGTGATAGAAGAAACTGTTAGCATAGAATCTCTAAATATATAACAGAAGCACTAAACCGGATGTGACAGCAATATTCACTGTATAGAAAAATGGCTGCCTACAAAGGTGTAAGATAGATTCTGGTGTAAGATAGATTCTGGTGATAGAACAACGCTGTGAACCAAATTTCCTAGCAGCAAACCTAGCAATTGATTCAATATAATCCTTCCACTTCATGTGATTGGAAAATGTTAGCCTGAGAAGATGCAATGAGTCTCCTGGGAGTTATCATCAGCCATGCTGATGGAAGACAATAAAGGTGTGGAACCCCATTAAAGAATTGTGGGAAAATGCAATAGATTTAAGTTATATTACTTAAACTCAAAAATTAACTCACTTTTGTGCATTTTGGTCGCTCAGATTTTAATTTCTATATTTGTATATATTAACCAGTCAGCGATGTCATATGAAATGTGTAGTTAGCCTTTGAATTTTCAAACAACATTTGTTGTTTGCTATGAAAATTTGAAGGCTCAACAATATTTTCCCTCCACAAAATAGATATTTAAAAATTGAGAAAATAGTTATTAACCAATAAACTTATAAGTTTAATAAAATCTAACTTTTAGATTTCTGGAGCCTATGTTTTTCTTATAAATATTGTGACGTTAAGTTAGCAAATTAGTTTTCCATTTAACCTTTGACAGGGTTGTTTATTGTTATACAAGCTGAAACTCTCAAACCATAATTAATTACTCATATTTTTGCATATCTATTTGTGTATACTATATTACAAAAAAAAATTAGTGATTTTGAGTTAAGAAACACAAAAAACATTTAAGAGTGGGTTTACTTACAAACTTAAATAGTAGTAAATAGTAACACAGCTCACTGCTTCTCAGCTACCAACTACTAGAAAATTACATACATACATAAAACATTCATTCTCATATGTAAATTCATGCTATTTTCTTGACTAACACAATTGATTCAATTGTAATGTAAAGAAAAACAAACAAAAATATTTTTGTGTGAAGTTGTTTCACAAAGAATCTTTGTAATTCATTTGTTTTAATTTGAAAGAAAACTAATACTCAATAATAAAAATGTATTTAAATTTGTAGAGCCATGATTGAAGATCACTTATTTCTTGATTTATCTTCATCATAGGTTTTCTAGGATGATTAAAAAAGAACAGTTTCATTTTGGAGGCATTAAAATTAAGAAGCCATTTCAGTTAACAACAGTGCTGATGCAAGGCAAAAAAAATGTAATAGTGTGTTATCTCCCTAGCCTAGCTAGTACAGAATCATACTCAATGGAAACAGAGCTAACAATAACCAACTCAGTCATGATCTTGCAGACAAATTTAGAGAGTTAAGTTTTTGTTTGGTAACTCACATTCTTGATCTTCGACCCTAAAAGGGTCACCCTAATAAATACAGATTAGAAGAAAGGAGAGATAACAATTTTGAAGAATAAAGTTGTTAGACATAAATGGGAATTATTTATGACTTAACCCAATATTAATTCATATTAATTTTATGTTTTATTTGTGATAATTGTATTCTTTAATATTTCCCAAGATGCACCACTGCTGCTATGGCTGCTGTACATGTGGTGCCTCTATAAAACTAGGGGAGTTATGACTGTGATCATGTGTATTCTTTAATAACTCATTTATCTTAATTTTATAATTAAATCAATTAATCTGAGGAAAACTAATTTTTGTTTATCTAATATCTTTCAAATGATTGTTTATTTTGATGACTTCTTTTTTTTTACTGTTCAGGTTTGTTCATTATGTGTCTGGTAGCAGTGATGTCAGCCATTGTGTATGAAGCGTTCCGTCTAGTCTACATGTTCTTCCATTTGAGGGCACACCAAAACCCCATCCTTTATGGCCACAAAGTCACAAAACCTTCTGGAGTTCATCGCACAAACAGTGAATCCCTACAGTCTCTCATTTCTAATCTTTCCATCACTAATATAAAGAAAAGACGGTAGGTGTCCTCAAATATTGTTCATTTTTTCTGTTTTTATTTTAATATAGGTTTCTTTTTTTTCAGGCAGGTTGATGAAAAGTTCTCAGCCCAACTTCTTGTATTATCAAGAATGCAACACAGCTTATTATGTTTAATACATATGCATTGCAATGCCCCCTTCACACCAACTCCCTTGGACATCTACATGCTATATTTAGATCACATTTTGTGATCTTGTCTATACAAGATCTCACAATTATACAATGCAACTCACTCCCTAAAATCTGACTGTGTAACTAAACCTCAGATATTCATTAGAATCTGTTCTTGGTTAGGATGAGAACTTTTCACTCCAACCTTTTATGACTTGAAAACTTGCTCATTATATACTACAAATCAATTTCTTCCTCTAGCTATGGGTAAAATAGTTGGCCAAGACTAGTAGGGAAACAAGTCTAGAAGGACACTTCTGAATTGAATTCCACTCCAACACATACACTAAAGTGTTAGGGTAATTACTTCTTATGTGTAACAGTCAGAGAAATGACAAAGAAGGGAGGCTGCCTGTTCCAGGAAACACTTTTATGAGCACAGCGCTTTGGGTCTGCTGCATAAGCCTGTATAGGCTGTATTGAAATAAAAGTGGTTTTAACACTATTCACAGTTGAAGGGCCTTTTCAATTTCGAATAACTTATACTATGGCATATGTATTTAAGTGATTGTTATCTTGACTGAACAATAAACATTTCAGTGATATATTCAGGACTGTTTTATCATTGTTGACAAAACAAAACCTGTGAATGGGTGCATTCTTTCAACGCCACAGCACTGTTGTGTGTGGAAGACACATCTTGGTTGTTATATAAATTTCAGTTATTTTCCTTGATAGAAGTTCCTTTGAGGATATGCGTTGATTTATTTTTTTGTCTTCTGGGTCTGGCTCTTTTGGCCAGATGAATTATGTGTGGTTAGGTTGTTTTTTGATGATTTGGCTGATTGTTATGGTTGCTGCCTAGCCAGCCAACTGTCTTTTACCTTAGTTTTTCAGCAGAACTTGATTTTTAAAATTACTTCATTGTACTCCAGTTTATTATATATATGTGTGTGTGTGTGTGTATGTGTGTGAGTATTTATAAATTAATACAAGTAAAAGGTTTGTCACTTATCTGATTGATGTTACCTTCAGCATGCTGACTCCAGCAATTGATTATATATATATATATATATATATATATATATATATATAAAAGATGGAGTCACCATGCAATATGTTGTATTGGAGGGGAAGGCAAACTCAACTGCTGCCCTGGGTAGTGCACACTCTAGTTATACGACTGAAGGCCTATGTCCTGCAATAAACCAAGACAAAAGGCTGATAGTTATAGAATTGAGTATTGAGTTCAGGCCTTATTGTGATAGTCTTGCCCCAGCTTAGTAAACTTTTTACCTATAACAGCCCAGATAGGAAATCAAAATATAATAATAATAATAATAATAATAATAATAATTCTTCATCTCATAAATTCAGACAGAATTTTAAAATAAAGAATAACTTTACATTTACCCTATAGTCAATTCTTTGAATCAGTTAATAAATGAGTTAGTAGATTTGTACCTATTAATTTCACCTTTAATTACTATCTACTAAATAAAATACATAATGGGACACAAGATAGGCTAATTGGTCATCTATTGAAAAATAAAACTAACTGAATAATATTGGCTAAGGGTACTGTTCATTAGGATTACTTTTGTAGGGATACAGAAGGTGATTATGTCCCTTTTGTCAAGATAAGTCATATGGGTCACATGTCAGCTGCTTAATGACATCCCTCCATACAGTGACAAAAGTGGCTAGTCTATCAGTCAGTTTACAGCAGCCAAACTGAGTGGTTGCTATTTTTTAGCCTGGGCCAAGATTCACCGTTTCCAGTTTGTGGAATATGTCATCACCTGGGACATAGCTGATGTATCTAGCCTGTTTGAATCTGGAGTCCTAAATATGGCTTTTCCAGAAACATTGAAGAATATCCATACTATATGTAAGACCCTATCTTTTCATTCTCCTTATACTCTGCTTGCCATGTAGATATATGTGATATATTTTTCTCTGTATGGGACATATATAGTGTATATATGAATATATATTTTTGTGTATGCCATAGCATTATAAAACTTTCTCTGAGAACAAAGCATGTTTGTCATTCCTTTTCCTTTCAGTCATTTCTTTCCATCTGTAAACTACAGTGTTATTATATCACAGATATAATAATGCCCATAATGGGGGAAATATAAATGGGAGACTTTGATTTTATGTCCCTGAGAAAGGCATATTCCTAAAAATGTCACACCAAGTTACCCACCTACACATGTAACAGGAGAAAATATGGTTATTTTATGAAGTATTTTGTAGCCATTTTTAATAGTTCAAAATTTCATATGAATTTTTCCTCAAAATTAAAATGCTGTTGATATTTGTCAAATCTACCATAGCTAAAAGATGTGAGCATCTGCCTTGTTTAAATGATAGAGCATAGAAGAGAGAAAGATAAAAGTAAACTAGTAAGTATTCCTTACAAATACAATAACATACTATGACAATACAGAATAACTTATATTATGTTGTTCTTCTAAAATCCATCTGCATATTTACAATTAAAAACTCTGCATACACACAAATTCACTCTTCTGTGTTAACTGTATGTAATCAAAGGGAGATAAATCCCTATTGACAATCTTAATGTAGAACCCAAGGGACATAATAACAATAATGTCTATTGACATTAAACCAACACCACTGAGACAGAGGTGGTGTTGGCCTCTCAAATTTTTCCATTTTAAAATTAAAACAGGTTAAAACTTTTATCTTTACTCAAAACTGAAATTCTTATTTAAATCTGTAATATTAAATTGTGAAAATATAGAAAACACATTAGATTATTGGTCTTGGACTGTAAATATTCAACATATTTATTAACTAAACAAGTTTGCAAAATATATTTTGACAAAAAAAGTAAAATTAGAAAAAAGAAAAAGACATAGAATAAGTTGGCAATTTTTAACCTTTGTGCTGACAAAAGAAATGCTGTGTCAAAAGAACAGTTTTTCCCTTGACACCACTATTATTTTAACTACCTTCACTCCTCAGCAATGTTTATTGTTTTAAAAAGCAATGATTAGAATTTTAATAAAACCTAAACATATGATGAAAGTGAATTTATACATTTTTTGTCCTTGAGAGTTAACAATAAAAACATTAAACACTATTTATTAGATTGTTTATTTACAAAATAATTTTATATTTACAAGAATAATTTTATATTTACAACTTTCTAAAAACTAATACAATTGTATTAAGCTAATGCAATGCAATATTTGTCATTTACCAATTTATAAACCAATTTAAAACAATAAACATTGCCAAGGAGTGAAGGTACTTTAAATAATAGCAGTGTCAATGGAAAAACCTTCCTTTTGACACATCATTTTTTTTGCAGGCATGAGGGTTTTGCCCATAAGTCTTTAATATTAAAGTATTTTGCAACTATAAAAGTAATCAATTTAGATATCTTCAAGCTATCAAAGATGTCATCAGATACAGAGACAAAAGGCTGAAATTAATTAAGATATAAAAGATAAATTTAAATAAATAAATGAATCTTTAGTCATTGACTTTTGTGATGTTTTTTTTTTCATCCTTATACTTCTTTTAATGAGTAAGTCAAATATATTTTTTAGCCAAGTGGGATCACCCACCATGTCATTAAATAGGATTGGGGTTTCTTTTGCCCTGTCATGTTTTTGGGACATACCTTGTTCAGTGGCAATGGGCAAATTTAAAATCAAGGAATGCAGTTCAAGATGACCGTTAATTGTTATAAGAGAAATATGAAGAAAAAAAAATATATAAAACCAACAAATAATGATGTATTTAAAACTTATTTTTTTATAAATTGATTCATTTTCTTTTGACAAATTCAACCATTGTTTTTTTGCAAAAAGTATCAGCACCATGGTCTACCTTCATCATCTTCAAAATGATTTTATTCATAGAAATGAAAACCAATTTACCAATTTTTCTTTATTCTATTACTTTTCTCACTCACTCAGCATAACCCCTCAACATTCTTTCACTTCGTTCTTCCATGTTCTCTATACTTGTGCATACGACTTATGCGGGGACTGGAAACAAGGGTCTTCTCTGCTTACACTACTTTGCTAAAGTCACTTGTTCATGATTTATCTTAAGAAATGGAGGAGTGGGAGATTTTAAAAATGATCACAAGTGCAAAACGATAACAAAAATAATTCATTTTTTATTACACAAAAATTATTTTTTCCTGGAGAAAATCTAAGGTGTTCAGTGCATGTGTTGCATACATGGAATGTTTACCACTGATTTGTATATATCGCAGTATCTACAGAGAAACTATTTCGTGAAAATAATGACATCCACTTGTATTGCCAAAAATTATGGACATTTTCACAAGAAAAAACTGAATGTAAACATGAAAATAATTTTTTTTTTTGTGAAGATTAAAAGAAACAAATGAAGCAATAATGTTTAGAATATTTAAAAGAAAGGAATAGATTGTTAATGCAGCAAGAAAAGAGAAAGAAAGTAAAGGAAAAAATAATGTTTAGAAAGTTTTAATGAACAGGAGAAATTGTTAATGTAGTGAGAATGCAACACAATCTCCTATGAGAAAATTTAACTGTTAATAGAATGGGAAAAATATTTTTTATTGTAGTGCTTTTATTAATAACATTATTTACATTCAAACTAATATCCACATCTTTATTTTTGTTATCACATCATTTCAGCCTTTGTGTCCTCTGGTCTTTTTCTGTATCTGTTAGTCTGTATAAGTTTCAAGGAATTTTGAACTGATTCCTTTAATATATAGTTCTTATTCTGCTCCCCACATGTCTAGGGATATCTCATTTTGTCAACCCCACCCAGTGGTTAGAAAAGGGACCACTTGGGAACACCAGGTACTGTAAGTGACTTCTCCAA